CAAGCGCTCTATCCCCTGAGCCATCGCGGTTTCATTTTTCATTTATGTTTGAAAGAGCGTGAGGAAAAAAAAAACAATAGAAGCAGCTTTAGTGATAGTCTAAATGATTGACTGCCCTTTTTCAGCTTAAATGAAATATAGGTCTGTTATATGATTTAATCATCCGATAAATTGTATTTAAAAATGGAAAAGACGATTAAAACAAGCAGACATTTGATTTAAAAATATACCGTAAAAATTGCAATTTTCCAAATAAAAATCCTCCTCAAGTGAAAACAGCTTAAATTACACAGGACAAAACCAACGACATCTAGCGGTAGTTTCTGTTTAAGTGTGGTTTTCGGGAAAATCTTGATTCGACCCGTCTTGATTTAAAACTCGATTTTATCGTCTTTGACTTATTTACAATTGGAAATATTTATAAACGTATATACAATTGGAAATATAAATAAACATAGAGGTAGTTATCTTTCGTCGTTTTAAATTATGTGTTTAATATCATTTCAAAATTAAATTTCCTATAGCGTATTCAAAAACTAAAATGTAAAATATTTCAAAATACAACAACCAGATGACGCCAGTGATAACTGAGGGCTATTCTTGCTATTTAATACTTCATAGGACCATTAAAATATCATATCAAATAGTTCATATTTAGTAGCTACTTGAATTACATTCTGTAAGTTCTTGGAAAATAATGTTTTAAATTGATTAAAACAGTCACTAAAATATATGAGAATTTCTTCTCGATTTCCTAAGGAATTAAACTTCAAACAGTATAATTTGGTATTAACTCAAAAGTTGCATTCGAAACTTTTTATACTGTTGGGACAACTGCTCCAATTAAGAAACCCATCTATTAGGAATAAAAACTAAATTTAAAAAAAAAGAGAAGGGAAGATAAAAATCACGATATTGATTGTTACATAAAGATCGACTTAAATGTATATTTTTCAGAAATTTTGTCAAAGACCAAAAAAAGTGTCTACACATTAGACACCTCCAATTAATATTTAAGCTCGGGAAAAAAAACGCAATCAAAATCTAAGAAATCACTATTCAGAAAGTTAGAGCATCAAAACTTAATTGACTGTTGAAACAGTTAAAAAACGCTTGTTTAAACCCTTTCCATGTATTGAATCAAATCGGTTCTGATACCAATCTTCCTTTACCTTTTGTTTACTACTGGTACCACTGATGTTCCAGAATAGAAAGAGCGATCATGCGCCGTAGGGAAAAGGTTAATAAGTTATTTTTTCGATCACTCTAATGTTTTTATTTGCTTAAATATGATTTGCTAATAAAGCGCAGAATATTTCACTCGTTATTTACTCCATCTTTTGTGTTTTATTAATCATTTGGCTAATGTTTTGGTGCAGTATTGGATTTTTAATGCTATTTTTAATCTTTCGATGTTGTATAACAGTGGTTATCAACTGACGGCCCGCGAACCAAAATATATTAGTTGTCATTTTTTTGCGGACAATTTTCGAAGAAAATCTATATGAGTTTTAAATACTTTGAAGTTTTATATCTTAACAATTAGATATCTTTTGCACATTAATTGTTTAATACATAGATGCACATTTAAGTTATTGTAGTCAGAAATTTTGAATATACAATTAAATATTTTTAAAAATCTACTTCTTATTTTAATTTGTAATTCAATACTTTTGTTTTGAACAACTTGATAAAAATCTGACAGTAATATTTAATGTTCCTTCAAACATAAAAAGAGTCCTATATAAAATTTTGATTAAGTTGTGGTCCACCATTTGACTGGTGTTTTTAATTGCGGCCCCCGGCCTCATGTAAGTTGGAAACCCCTGTTGTATAAGGTTTATACACTAATCGGAATCAATTTTTGTGGGATTAATATAAAACTTAGGATAATAATTATTAAAAAAACTTATTCTTTTTAATGAAGGTAAAACAACACTACGATTGCATTTGAAAACAATTTCTAAAATATTATTTTAACGATCAGAGTTCTTCGCTGTTTGATAATTCGCTCTTCACTGAATAACAATTATAGAAAGAAACTAATTCTTTTTATTGAAGATTAAACACTATTGTACTTGGAACACAATTTCTAAAATATTATTTTAGCGATCAGCGTTTATCCGCTGTTTTTTGTTTGCTTGCAGAGAAGGGCCGTTATTGCGCTGGCGCGGAACAAACATCTTCACCCAATAATCGGTAGCCAAAATTCAATCATTTAAAAGCTCCAAGAGAGTTCTAAGTTCCATAATATGTATTCCCGCATCCGGGTGTAGACTTACTAACTACAAGCACAGTATTTATAGAATTAGAATTTTATCGCTAGATCTTAATTTTTTTTCTCTAAACTGTTCATAAACGAAAAAGTTTTTAGATGATAATCTTTTTAATGTCAGACACACAATTGAAGACAGCATAATTTAACATTGATAAAATACTTTATTATACTCAACATAGGATTCACAGAATAGATGAAATGTAACAAAACAAGAAAACAGATTTTTAATTTTCATGAGGAAACTAAGACACACACGTTTAACAAGAACACTCCATAAGAAAGAGGGAACACACACACACACATGTATATAGACCACTTGAAATACAAATTCATCATTTTACTTAAAACTTCTCTAGACTAGACGATGACAGCATTAAATAAATATTAAACATATAGTCTCACAATGAACAATCTAAGTTTCAAGTCGACAAATAAATAATTTAATTAGAATTCAAACTATTTTATATAACCAAGCTTTAAGTATTTTTTTTAAAAATCTGTTCTAATTACTTTCCTTTACAAAAAGTCATTTTATAAAAATTTATACTTATTTTCTTTTATTTACGTATAGAAAGAAGCTCCTTTTTGTCCAAACCTCTAATTGAGCAATCAGTTTTAAAAAAGTTAAAAATAGTTTTTTTAAAAGGTCGTGCTAAATATATTTTAAAAATATTTTAACTTTTTAAAAAGTCATGCGGCAAGTGAATTTTTAAAAATAATTATTTTTTTTATTCTGTCTTCAGATTATGTAAAATAATAGATTCGAATCTAAAATCTATTACTACTTGTATCAAATTTTATTTTATTTCAATAGATTAATTGATAATATATGAACACAATTTAGTTTCGAAAAGACCCACTATATTTGTTTAGTTATAAGCAAATCAATTAATTTATAGTAGCATAGTTCATTCTTTAAAAGTAACTTTTATTATATATTTCAGTTTTATTAAAATTTTTATCATTGCAGTTAAAATTTATAAATGGCATATTGGGTCGTTAGTCTCTGAGAATCTAATTTCAGAAATGAAATTAATAAATAGCCAAAACAATCTGGCTTTTTTTAAAATCACAATAATTTCGGGTGAATCTGAGTCATTAAATCTTTCCATGAAAACACTGTTTACAATACATATTTACACATAAATATTTCTTCTACAACTATATATTTTAAGAGTTTAAACTGTGAAATCTGTAACAATTTTCATAAAAATGAAACATAGTAAATATTTTATGGCTATCTACATACTAAAAGGTTCATTAAAAAGAATGAAATAAATTATGTTTTAAAAGAGAAAAATTTATATATTATTCAATACTAGTATTCTATATGCTAAAACGAACGCATACAACCAGCTAACTATTACACTTTGATTGATATAATACGTTTCATTATAAAATAAGTTAAGAACTATTATAGTCATATACTAACGGTCTTTCAAATATTGAAACTTTAATCATCTGAATTGTTAAAACGACTGATATCAAATTCTCACGAAAAAGACAAATACTTGGCGACAAATATTTGCTCCCTTGGCGCAGTTTTCACAAAACTTCATAAAAATTGTACAAGTTTTACATCAACTGCTATTCTCACGTTAATAAATAATTGAAGCTCGTGAAAATGAAGCGCTTGAGCAAGTTGGATTCAACTAGACGTTCGGCAGTGCTCAGAATGAGTTCATATTAACGCTCTTACAGTGATTCTTAGATCTTAATAGCTCAACAAATTAAATTATAACAAAGAAAACTATTTTTCACATTTTGAATTATAACAATCCTGAATTTATTCGGGATAAACCAAATTCGACCCAAGAAAAAAAAAATTAACAAAACACTTGGGATGAATAGGGTAAATCCAAACTTTGATCTACAAAATAAGTTAATGCGTATAAGCATCATAAGAAAGAAACTTAAAAATTTTAAAATTAATACTAAGTTAAAATTATTATTTTAATATTCAGGATTGTTCATAAGATATTTTTGTTTATTAAACCATCAAACGAATCGAAAAAAGGGTAGCATAAATGCCATCCCTCAATCAATTACAATCATTTTAGAATATTATGTTTTTTTTGGCACATCATATCAAGAGAGGGGTTTTCTTGAAAAGAAGTACAAATGATTCCAAAGTTGTAGAAGTGCAGCATTTTTAAATATAAAAAAGAACTGAAAATTGAAAGGAACTCAAAAGCTCAGTGTATGTGTGTGATTCATTTAGGAATGATTTGATTACAAATGCAAAGTTTTTAACTGATTTATAACGAGAGAAAAAAAATGCTTTGATTAATGCAGCACCTATGATTACGAGGAGAGTTTTATTGTAATGACCACAGCTGTGCACCGTTTTAATGTATCACTCTATGCATAAATGTTCATTTGCTCACTGCATCGTAGGGTTCGATGATATTGGGTGAGGTTCGATTGCTATGAGGTGGTGTGGTGGGTTCAATGGGGGTTTGAAGTTCGAGTGAGGGTGGCCTGTTGCACAGCAACATGTCTTTTAGCCCAGCAACTTCAGAGGCGAGTTTTTTCAGTTCAAATCTCAAGTGTAAGTTCTCAACTTGCAGTTCTGCACCCATTCCTTTACCCCTCCTGGAGAGCCTTGCCACTTTGCGCGGCGGTTCTTCCGAATTTTGAGGACTGTCTGAATTGGGGACAGGGCTTTCCTTGCCACCACTATCACCGTCTGAGGAGGTGTCATCTCTTCCACTACTTCGTCCACTATCTGGATAGGAAGGTACCTGTATAAAGGCATCTTTGTCGCTGATTAAAGATTTGTGACGCAACTTGTGAGGTAAACAATGCTGTGGTGAAACGGGCCTGGCGTGAATGGGTTCTTCAGTGGATGACCAGGAGCTAGATTCATCGTGATGGGGTGATGCCGATGTGGGGGATGGCACCTCTTGAGGAGGACTGCGGACGTTGAGATTGCCACGATAATCGTACTCACCGGGTGCCATTCCATTATTGGATGTCAGGCGATTGATGACATGCTGATGAAGTTGCTGCTGTTGCTGATGGTTCTTCAGCAGCATTGCCTGGTGATGCGATTCCTTCATGGCATTTTCGTGAGCTTCCTGCCACTGCGCGTGATCCATGGCATGCAAATGAGACATCATGTGGTGCATGGAGTGATCTGGAGCATGAGCACCAGGAGAATGGTTCATACCATGGGGTAACATTCCAGATTCCGGCTGAAGGGGAGATCCGTTCGGTAAAAGAGTAGTGAGAAGCTTACTACGTCGACTACGAACATCGATTTGAGGACAAGGTATATGAAGATGCAATTGTTCAGAATTCACAATAGGCGTGGGTGGTAGAGAAAATTTCTCTCTAATAGCGGTCAGCTCTGCTCGAAGAAGAGTATTTTCTTTGGTCAGCTCCAACATTCTTGTCTCCAGAACCATGTCATTCAACCTACGTTTTTCACGAGATCTTTTTGCGGCTTCGTTATTACGTCGACGCCTGTCCCAATAGCTCTCGTCTTTTTTGTTGTCAGGTATGAATTCGCGCTGTTTGCGGGCTGGAAAGATCTCCTTATTACCCTTTAATGCTGCCGTCAGGTCTACGGGTGCTTCCATGTTGTTCGACCAGATAGGCCTGCCGCTGTCAGAATTGGGTGACTGGTAGGGATTTGGAGACATGCTGTTGCTGCCTGGACTTAGTGGTGAGTAATGAGGATGACCAGAGTTTGAAAGCGGAGGAGAATAGGGTGGGGAGTTGGGACGCAAATCCTGTATTCTGTGCTTGCTTCCGGTTGAGTCGTTGGCAGTTATCATCATCATGAGATCAATTAACGATCTGAAATTTTTAAAAAAATGTATAATTAAAAATTTACACTAGAGTAAACTTCTTTTTTTTAAACATAAAATATGACTTTATAACATGTTTCCCCCAAATAGGACGCATGGAACTGTATATATTTGATAAAAGTAGATAATATATTCATTCATAAGTTGTTTTCATTAGTAGTTTACAAAAGTTCAGCATATTCGCAGTTATACTTGCAGTACTTTTGATATAGTAAAAATATAATGACTAACTAGAGACTATCAAAAAAAATTTTCCTTATAAATATGAAACCCAGTATTTGACAGAGTTGTACAATTGCTTTTCATGAAACACCAGAGCGATTTTCAGAATGTCAAAATGCAGCGATTAATCAATACAACATAGCATGATTAATAAAAAAAAATAATACTAGTAAATATCAAGTACTTTATTAATTTTGAAAAAAAAAATTGAAATAATCTCTATGAAAGAAAAAAAAATGTTGCATACCTACGGAAATTATATTAATGAGATTTTATTGAATGTTTATTTTCAATAAAATGTGCATATTTAGAAAAACGCTACTTTTTTAAAACAAGTTCAATTAAGCTTCAGAAAAGGAAATATTAATAGTTAAAAGGAAATAATGCAAAATAATTCTGAAATATTGTGTTAAGATAGATGTTCTATTCAGCGGCTCAAACGGGGAACCATAAAAACTAACTCTTAATAAAATATGTTATTTTTTTTAAATAATAAAGAACCATTTTATCGTAAAAAATGAACCCTTAACAAAACATTTTACTTTGCAATTTTCATTTTAAATATGGATAAATCAAAAAAATTTTCTTTTAAATATTTAGAGTTGACATGATGTCATTAATTCATTAGGTTAAAGAATGCAACTCCGTGAAAAACTTCGTTATTATAATATATTTTATAAATCTGGACAGAACCCTGCTTATGGATTAAAGTGAATTTTGGTTAACGATATTAAAATATTTTTTTTTATCCTACACTGTGTGAACAAAATTATTCATTTTATTCTATTATTTTTTTAATCCTTTTACATGTATTTTATTTTATAACCAGCGTTGAACAGCCGACCCAAATTTGGGTTTAAGTCTATCAATTTTCAACTCCGTAGCCTTGTTTTTTTTTTTTAACTCAGCCCAAAAGAAAAAGGGAACTTTTGGATGAAGAATTGGGACAAACTAGCCTAAAGTGGTGAAATTTTTTCGATGAAACTAACTCGCATTTACGTTATGCGGCGAAGAAAAACTCCCGTGGTTAACCCATTGGCAAAAGAACTCTAACCCATAATCCCGATAAGAACACTGAAGATATTTTACGTCATCACTGTGGTCAAAGGGTCACTTTAAAGGGAGGGCAGCACTCTACTTTGCGCCACCGTGCCTCTATGTGAACCCTCTTGAACAAAACATTTCATAAATAAGCATATTCTATCGAATAAGATCGTGTTTCTTTATCCAAAACTTAATACTATTTTTTGATTAAACACTCATTAAAATAGAAGAGTAAAAAAAATTAAATAAAAAGAATATAAAAATTGAATGACATTTTTAAAAAAATATTTATTAAATGAACACTTTGAATAAAATATTTACTTTTAAAGAAAATATTAAAATTTTAAAAAAATGCATCAAAATTATTAAATTAAAAAATTTAAAATTTTTTCCCGCAACATTAAAATGAAATTCAAATTTTAATTTACTTTGAAATTATATTAGATTTTAAAGTTTCAGGAACGGCAACGTTTGTTTAACATTGCATGCTCATTTCTTCAAAAACTCCTCTTGATCAATAAACGAGAAACGGTAGTGTATAAAGGGAGAATTTCCGCGCAGGGGACTTCGAAATTCTGGAGACATTTCGGAGAAAGATGGGAAAGTTGAAAAAAGACATTTAGAATTAATAATTTATTTATTCTAATCTCTAATACTAGTTTATGCACACGGCAGTAATATTACACGAATTCTTCAGATTGATTGAAAATAGTATTTTTGACAACAAAAATACGGTTAATATTTTTAACAACAGTAAGTATAATGTTATAACTACACACAAAACAATTACAATAATAATAATTAATTAATTGTGCTTTTTTAATAATTGTACATGAAAAATGTAAGTGGGTGCTCTCTTAATGTACACAAAGTAATAACAACGAACAATTCAAAATATAATTAATAACCAATAAATTAAAAAAATTATATATTGGTTTTGAAAGCAAATATATACATATATATAATGTAAATATTTGTAAATACTTTGAGAAGAGTTGCTATGCGCTAAGTTCATAAGAATAAACGTATTTGATTATATTAAAGAAAGAACAATTGTTGCGCTGTTCGACGAGATAATTGTCTGATATTCTATTTCATTATTTTTTTCATTTTTATTTCAATTTCATAACAATAATTAAATCGATTATTGCTAGAACATTTGAAAATAGTTTCATTTTAATAATGAAGGGAATATACACATATCAAAACAATTTTTTGAACAGAGATGATTCAAAGTTATGATGCAAGAAATGAAAATAAGAGAGCAAGTTTTAATCTGTCACAGGTAGTTGTTCTGTTTACTCTAATACGCTATCACAGTCAAAAGGGTGCATCTAACATTATGACCAGCAATTTTTTTATGTAAAAAAAATTAGAATATATTTAATTATAAAAGTACATGTTTTTTATCAGGTACTATACCTGTCATAATGAAATTTATCATCATTAAACGAAAACTTACTGTTATAATTACTATTGCGGAAAAGTTAAGTGGTCAGTAAATAATAATCCAACTTTATTTAAATAAAAAACTATTTAAAAATGTTTCCTCAATTTTAAACTAATAATTAAAAATAAAAATAGACAAAAGAAAGTAAAATGGATAAATTGAAAAAAAGTTCGAATTATATATTTAACGTTCATAGTTCTTCAAATCATTAAAAAATTATTTTTTCCTATATTTACTATTTTTTATATCATAAACATAAAAAAGCAAAAACACTTTTATTATGATTATGTTGAGCATTTCATTAATGAACAAAATATTCAACTGGAATCGGAAATATTGGATTACAAAAAAAAAAAAAAAAAAAAAAAAAAAAAAAAAAAAAAAAAAAAAAAATCAAATTAAAAAATAAAACTAATTATTCTATACTCGTTATATAGAAGACGAATACACTTTTATCTCCAAATTATACAAACAATTATTTCTTCAAATGAACATTTATAATCATAAATAAGCAGATATAATAAGTTTTAACATAAAAATAAACTGAATAAATAAGAAATGTTATGAAAATTTAAAATAAATCGCGCAAGAAATATTTAGAAACAAGAACTTTTTTTCAAACTATCTTCACTTAGATATTTAAATACATATTTATAATCTTATGTTGTGACATTATATTTAATCATAATAATTTATTAAATAAATTTTTTTTAAAAATGTAGTTTTAATTAAACTTTAATTTTATCGCAAGAATATTTTACATAAGCTATTCATTTCTAAAAACGTATTGACTTTTTAATTTTATTTATTTATTTCAATCAATTATTTAATTTAATTATACAATTTAATTTATTTTGAAATAATATTTATTGGAGATTTGAAAATTAATTAGAAACATTTACAGTCCAAAGAAAGCAGCTAATTAAAAGAATAAATATTGATAAATCTAAGAAATGTAATCACCTAACAGAAATAACTAGACTATACATTTATAGTCAAAAGAATGCATCTGCAGGAAATGTTGATAAATCAATAAGATACAAACACTATTGATAAAAATTATTACATTATGCATTTACAGTTATTAAACGAAATCTTCAGTGCAACATCAAATAAATAATTTTATTATAAATACTAAAATAAAAAACTGTCTCAAATTATAAATGATTACTGAATTTATTAGATGATTTATAGCTTATAATGATATAGCTAATAAAAACTACTTCTAATTTAATTTTAAAATGCCAACTTGTATTAATTAAAAATGAAGAAATAAATTAAAAAAGAAGCATCAACTAAGAAAAATCATAAAATTTTACTTAAATATTTTATTAATAATATCTTTTAATTAAGAAACATTAAATTATAGTTTCATTTTTACTTAAAAAAGTACAATGGAAACAAGGTATTATGATATATATTATAATTAGATTGATAGTACTAAAAAGTATGCGGAGTCAAATTTTTTAAATTTATAATAATACTCTTCCAAATTGGATTTATAAAAAAAAAAAAAAAAAAAAATACGGTTAATTAAAAAAAAAAATCATAAATTTTACTAAAATATTTTATTATAAAAAAGGAATTTATTAAAAATTTCGTTTTTCATTAATTTAACATTTTATATGTAAATGAAATAAAAAGGTTAAATTTTTCTTAATTAAAATATAAAAATATATTATTTAAAACACTCACTTTATAATCCTTAGATATGTTTTTCGCCCATGTTGTCAAATATGTATAAATGCATGCACTATAACCAATAATCCAAGAATAGTAAATATAAACAAAAAAAAGCAGTAGATAGTCTAACAAAAACACACACCAACAAAAACGAATGATGCTAAAAAAAAGTGAAAGTTCAGTAAAAAGATGAAGTCCAAAATAAAAGATGGTAACCACAGAGTAAGATAAATTTCGACTCAAATTGATTCTACAACTTTTACGTTATGCGGTGAGATGAAAATGATCACACCGTTTTTCTTTCACCACGTGACCTCGAGTATTATTAATAGTTCGCCAAATAACATCGCCAAGTTCCAACACAGACGATAACACCAGCGCCTTACTAATGCGGAAGAAACGGCCCTCACTTCACCAGTGTTTTTTTCTATTTCGTTTTTATCTTTGGCAACGGATGCGGTTGTTGCACTTTCACTACTTACACATTACAAGGGGGAAGATTACTCTTATAATCGGTTTGTTTTAATTATTTATGCTTCCACTGACCTATTTAACCCAGTTTAAGGCTTTTTATAAAAATTCGCCTTGAACCGCACTGATATTCTCCTACTAGTACAATGAACGATTAACGTTTATTTTGATAAATGGCGAAATTTAAAACCAATCGGCCTTAACATGTTAAGATTATCATTCTATTTATCACACATTTATAGCACCGTAGGTTAAATTTTTTAAATACGTTTTGCCATTTTTACGAAAATAAAGAATATGACGTAAATGGACAGTTTAACATTAATCTCGATGTTATTTAGATTATAGAGTAAGTCGAAACAATTCGTAATTTTCTGTGAACATTTTATGAAATGCAATTTTAAATCAACAATTGCGTTTTATTCTTCTTCTATAATAACTTAACATTTAATTTTTAGATTTTATGTCAACATTTTTATTGTTTTTTTTCTGTTTGGAACTTATTTTCATATTTACTTTTTTTTTTTTTTTTTTTTAAAAAAAAAGAAGACAAAGAGAACAGATATTTAACAACTTCTGCGATGGTACGCTGTTATGATGTTAAATTATACGTATTATGTTATACCTGAAACATATCTAAACTTTGATACTATTATAAACATACTTTACGTTTGTATTATTTGTTTGGCTGTGGGTGAAGTTAGAACAATCTTTAGGTTTTTATATCATACATAAATTAAATTTTTTGTGTTGATTCTCTTTATGTATCATATTTAAGAAAAAGAAAACAGATTACAACGTAAATCTATATTTTATTCTCCTGGTGTTGATATTTCAATTATTGAGTGGATATAGTAATTTTTCAAAAACAATTCTAAAACGAAATCTAAGACGAAAATTACGAAATTCAAGAAGGAAATAATGATTCGCAACTAAGTTTTTAAATCAATTATTTTTCTTTTAGAATTGCACTATGTTTAATTTTTAAATGCTATTTTTATTCTTTAACTTCAGAAATTTTTTTATTGATGCTCTTTTTATAATGCGAAGAGTTTTTTTAGATAAGCAGAAACTATTTTTGCGAAAATGGAGAATGAAAACGTAAACGAATATTTTAACCCCCTCGTGCTGATATTTTGATCATATATTAGGTCCATGTAGTTTTTAACTTTGTATTATATATATATGCATGCATTTATTAAAAAAAGGGGGGTTGCATTATTTTTATCTTTAATATTATGGCATACCATGACCTGTTTTGTGAGAAATCACAAACAATAACCAATCGGTTGTTTTAGATCATCCGATAATTTCCTATTAAAAAAAAAGGTTTACGTACCGTTTTTTTTGTTAAAGATTTATTATTGTGAAAAAAAATCGTTGTTTCGTATTGGTATTATAAGGTTCAGTTTTATGTGAAAAAAAATTAAACCATGTCTATTAACTAAATCTAATTATGAATTAATGACTTTTATTTTTTGAAAGAGAAATTTTGTGTAGCGTTCGTTTTCGATATAAATTATTTAGTGATGAACCCGTCAATTTCTCCTTTACCCCTTTTAATATACTTTCCGACTTTAGCATTAATAATTTATAAATTTGGAGCTCTCCATTTTATATGCTCTTTCGTAACTCGAGAAATTTTAAATATTTTAACTATTTTTCATAATTGCCCCTTTAAAATTTATCATATAAAATTTTATAATAATATAACATTTTAATATTTAACTTTTGCACTAATAAATCAAGAGGCCAAAATTTTCAATTTAAGAAACGATTCAGTGCGTTTTTCAACAAGCCGATGAGATGATAAGCGCCATAAAATAGGAATAAGTTTGTGAACCATAAAGTTTATCAAGTTCTTTTTTAGTTGGATTCAGTTAATTAGTTGTTGAAAATGAAGAAGATTAACGTTCGTATAAACGTTCATTGATCGTGATGTAAAAATAGATAAACTGTATTTTAAATTCCATCTTAATGAATTATCGTTCCGCTCTAATTATAATTATAATGGCAGTTAAACCGTGAAGAAGTCTATTATGAATTTAATAATTTTGTTAACTTTGAATTAAGAGGAAAATAAGTTCGTCTAAAACATTTATATTTGAATCTTGCATTCTAAATTATTTTATTGTTATAATCATAGATTAAAGAGTGATTTAAACATTGAAATAAATATATGTTTAATGACTAATGTATATCTATTTTTTAATACATTTTAGTGATTTCGCATATTTATTTCATATATTTTTATTAATATAAGACATATAAAATGCTGCTTGCGCCTAAATAATAAATGTGGTAATTCATTGATCTGCTATTTTTTCTTTGGTGCGCGATTCACTTGCATTTAAGATCTAATTTTAATAGAAATCCTTGATCAAATTTTACATTAGATACTAGATCAAATTTGAGTTTAGATGCAAGATCAAACTTTCGAATTTAGGTTAGATACTAGATCGAATTTTAGGTTAGATGCAAGATCAAACTTAAAATAGGTTGGCTTCTGGATCAAATTTTAGGTTAGATGAAAGCTTAAATATAGGATTTTATGTGAGATGCGAGATCTAATTTTTGATAGATTTCAGATTAAATGCCATATTAAATTTTAGTTTTTCGGTAAGACGATAGTGTTTTTGCAATATTGCGCAGAATCGGAAAAAGATGTCAAACAGATTTGTTACGTTAAAAAGGCAATAAAATATGAATTACTCGTTTTAAATGATAAAACTGATGCCTGTAAATATACACTGATTGTAATGACCTATCATTTGAATCTTTTAATTTATTGTATAAATATTACTTTAATTAAAACTCTTATTCTGTATGCGCATTATTTCAATTATTGTTCATGGTTCATTTTGTCCAATCTGAACGAGCAAATTGTATTTTTTTTAAAAATCAAACGCGAGTAACTTAAAACTTTTCTTAAAATTTACAACATTAAAAATAGTCAATTAATAGACTAGTATTAATAGACCGTAGAGTAGTTCACGACCTTTCCTTATAATAAAAACTTTGGATCTAGGTTATTAAAAGTCTAGAAAGTTCAGCTTTCAATTCCTTTAAAGAATTTACAACTTTCTAAGTAGTATATCATAACATCAACTTTCTATTAATTATTCGAATAATCTACTGTTCTAATATGGTTCTTTACATAGTGTGCTAATAGACTGTTCTATTATAATGTTTGAATAAATTTAAACATATTTTCGCATTGTTTTATCAAGATTTTATATATTGCTCTAAGTTGTAAATCTCTATTATAATACACTTTTCTATAAATTGTTCTAATAAATTTTTACATTGTACTATAAAGCTTTTATATTTATAGAATGTTCAAATGAATTTTCAATGAAATAATATATCCTTATTCCTTTCAAAATATTTCTTCATTCAAATGCTTCGTAAGTCTTGTAGGTTTCGATTACAACTCAAGTATTACCCCATTAGCAATTGAAACACACAGATCATTATTTTCTTCCAAGGTTTAAGAATTTCTCAATATCTATTTGTGTCGTTTGGCACATCCTAGTCGAAGGCTTGATAAAATGGATAATTACGTCTATAAATGTCCCTCACAAGTAAAAAGGAGGAATGAACGACCGTGAACGAATTTTTAAGAAGAAGAAAAAAAAAGCGAAGAAGAAGAGAAGTGAATTAAATTTATAAACAAAAACTGCTCAAATCGGCAGCAGCGGAGTAGGAAGTTAAAAAAAAAAACGAAAATAATAAAACATGTCATGGGGAAAGTTAAACATAAGCGAAAAAAAGAGAGAAAACGGGGCCAAGGCTGAGCGAGCAAGTGCAGCAAATCAGGTAACCCAGAGATCAAGAGTTGCGTTTTTTAAAAGAGTTTTCGGTAATGAAATCATCGAGAAAGAAAAGAAGAGGATAAATAAGGAGGAATTAAGAAAAACAAAATGCCAATGAACCTTTTGGATTCGCTCATTCAAATTACTTTACAAAAAGTTATTGAGCATGCTTTTTTCCTTTCTTCTTTCACAATTAAAATTATTTAATTTTGTGCTGCGTAGGAATTTCCAGCTTTTCATTTTAATAATAATATTTTGAGTTTTTGATAAACCCCTTCAAATAATGTATTGATTTTGCGATGCAAATTTTTTTTTCTTCAAGTTTTTATTCAAAAGAAACTTAGTGCAATGAAATCAATCACCCTCGAAATAATGTATTGATTTTGCGACCTTAAATTTTTCAAGTTTTTATTCATATTGCGGTACGACAAATTATGACACTTTAAAATGGTCAGTTGATTTTGCGATACTAGTTTTTTTTTCAAGTTTTAATTCAAAAGATATTATTTACCATGAAACATCTTCAAATCATTTTGCGATATTAAATTTTTTAAAGTTTTTATTGAAAAGATATTTTGAGGTATGACGAATGATGTACACCTTCAAACGGTGTATTGATTTTGCGATACTAGTTTTTTTTTTCTTCAAGTTTTTATTCAAATGATATTTTGTGTAATCGAACACCTTCCAAATTGTTTTACGATATTAAAAATTTCAAGTTTTTATTCAAAATATATTTTGAGGTAAGACGAATGATTACACCTTCAAATGACCATGACCAGTGGTTAAACAAATGATATACTAAGTTGCAACAATCATTAAAAACAAACTGCAGCAAAAAGAGATAAGACTGAAAAACGAAAATGCAGCCGATATTTTCGGAGAATTTTTCTTTTTTTTTAGTTACTTCAAAACGCTGAGCGAATGAAAGTGTTGTAAATATCACTTTTAAGGGAAGGTATTTTCAAATTCGAAAAGGAAGATACTACAACAGATTCTCCGTTACGGAGCAATTTGGAACAAATGCCTGAAGCGATTTAATTTTGCTAAATACAAACTATATTATAAACTGAATTGAATGAAAGCAATTGCAATTTCAAAATAAGTCTGAAGAGGCTAAGGTGGTTGGTAGCAGTGCGGCCCGTATTTATTTACCTAAACAAAACGTGAAAGACTTCAAAGTACAATTTACGGAATGAATATGCAGCACTATTTTCATAAATCCAAATTTGTCCGCGACCTCAACACAGTCAGGTAGCGATTGTTTTCTTACAAATTCAGCTTATTGCTTCATTTACAAATATAAGATCCTTAAAAAATTTTGATAGTTTTTAAATTGTTGATATTTAAGTTGAATATTATACAATGATCCAAAAAAAAGGGATAAATCCCCAAAGAGATAAATCTGTAATCAAGTAAAATTAAAAAAAAAAAAAATCTTCACGGCCAGTTCTTTGCGTTTTCAGATGTT